ATACAAACTACCTCAGGTGTGTCATAATTTCCTTGGAGTCTTGCTACTTTCCAAAGGTCAGGCATGATAAACCCTGCTACAATATGGCATAACGTCTCCTTAGATTGGCCTGTTGTCATGGATACCACCCTGCATAACAGGCATTTTAGAAGTGGGTGAAACAGGCTCTCTTCTGCAAGATCCTTGGCATGACTCATCATACTTTGCACCTGACAGAAAAGAGGATAATAAAAGATCACACTTACATGTATGTTCCCCTCATGTGTTTGCAAAACTGATGAAAATAATGGCTTTCATATTTTAAACCTAGTTTTGCTACTAGCCCACATTTAAGTATCACACTTCACTTTTTTCACTTCACTTCCACATTTCAGTATCGTTTCATCACTATATAAACTTTAAAATCCTTTATCAATCAAAGTGAAAAAAAAGATATATACAATACAACAAAAAATAATAATTTTAAGATCCTAGGTACGCCTACTCAGCGGACCTTTTCTGTATTATTGGAAACAAAACCAATGAGCCATCAAAAAAATTTTGCACTTACTGTTTCTAACAGTTTTTTCTCCTTCAACTTCATTAGATTTTCTCCAAGCCAGTGGAATAACAGGCTGTTGGCCAAGGCAAGACTATCAGCATCAGAACTCTTGCTACACCTCTTCCATTCTAATTGTTGAGAAGTTTATTACACAAATATAAAATTAGCACAAATTTTAAATTTATTACAAAACTTTACATACTGTGCACCATCTGTCACTTGTTCACTCTGATGCATACGGCCCCAGTTATTAGTGCCACAGCAGAAAATTAAAAACTGCTCAGAAAATTGAGAAATATTTATCACTAAAATTGTTGCACAGCTGAAACAAAATTGCCTCTTCTGATTCAACCTAAAATATAACACCATTAATGAGCTTCTTGGCTTAAAAGAAACGTGATCATTCTGTGACTGGAAACATCAATGTTTCATATAAATGTAGGCTACCTGAGACCAGTGCACTAGACGACACACTGGAAAATAAGCTAACAAACTACCTTTCTTTTTGACAAAGTCTTTCATTCCAGACAACAGAGGATGCTGGGCAGCTAGCACTGATTTGCTGACTGTCACCGAGAGGCAAACCGCTGTCATGTGGGAATGACGATAAAGGAAGAAGTAGGGTAACAAGCCAAACAAGATATTGTCAACAAGTGTTGAATCAGCAGATTTTATCCAGTCACCAACAAGTAACAGCAATGCTTCCTCTTTCACTTCATCCCTGTGAATTTACATGTGCATAAATAAATATCTGTGATCTGAAAGTACATAGGTTGCTAGTAAAATCAGAAATGAAACTACTCAAATAATGCGAAAAATAAACAGGTTTAAGATCCATGAGCAGACACTATTGAAGTAGAAGGCTTCCCAGCCTATGGCCATCTCGAAATTTTTCTCCTTCCTAACCTGGATGTCTGCTTATTATAAGAAGATTTTGTCTGTCATTTAATTACGTATTAATGCTAACCAGTCTGAGGATCTCTTATTCAACAGCTTCAACACCTCTTGCACAAATTGAGAGCCAGGAAGATTATCAGCAAGGAGCTGGAAAAGAAAGACAAGCACTTTAATCAGACTTTTTTGTAATCACATTTTTTCCTTCAAATACACATTACTTTCTAATAAGGGTAAGTGCCCTACTACAGAGCTAGATTTAATTACTAACATAGTGTCTCATATGAGCGTAATAAGGAAGATAAAAAGAAGCTGTACTCACGCTAGTTTATTATTTTTTTTTTGCTTCTTTGACATGGTAGAAGTTAAATAATCTTGTCATTCTATATTATATCTAAAATGCCACAGAAACGTCTCTGAATGTACAGCATTACAGACATCAGCAGAGTCCACAAACCAACCTTGCCTAGCTTAAGCACACATTTAACAACCGCTGGATCATCATCTTGAAGTCGTGAAAGTAGAGACTCTGTAACAAACTGTTTGTCTCCTGGTGCTCCCTACAACATTAACAAGAAATCAACCTTTTTACCGATACGGCGGCCATATTGAATTAATTCGATTTAAGGAGTATAATAGGATGCCCAGGGGGATGAGCACATTTCGTTTGTATTTTCGAGTGCTTTTCAGGACATTTTTTCTTAAAGTTTTCTTAGAATAAGATTGTAATGGGAAAAAAGATCCTTGTGCCACGTTTTGATGTAATAATGATCACCTTTTTCCCGAGAAATATACAGTGAAAAACCATACTTCTAACACTAAACTAGAAAAAGGTGATCATTATTACATCAAAACATGGCACAACGATCTTTTTTCCCATTACAATCTTATTCTCATCAATAATGTTGGCAATAACAATGATGATAAGGATGATGATCACCATCATCACCACCATACAGTGTATAATAACCCCTTAAACCCTAAAATCAAAATTTGAATTCTCATTTGTTACTCCTATTCATTTCCAACAGAAGTAGTAGGGAGAATTTGATAATAATATCAAGCAAATTCATCTTGTGTGATCATGTCCGTAATTCTCATGACCACTCTGTTTTACAAAGCATTGATATTACAAGTAGAAATTTGATGCTGATCACTCTTACGTCTTAAAGGGTTAAAGCTGACACATGTTTACCAACTTACAAATTAATAATATGACAGTCACAACAAAAATACTCATTTTAAAATAGCATTAGTTTATGAGCTTCACCTCTTTTCCTTCCAGAAGGTCTCCAAGGCGTTTAACTGCAAATTCTCGCATTTGCGCTTGAGGGTGATGAAGACTCAAGACTAATGTCGTGTTGGTGTCTGGGATAACCTGAACAAAAAGTATTACAGCTTTGTTACAACGCTGTGTAGATGGTCTATATATCTTAAATCACTCTTGACATCTCTTTTCAGTTTATCTGTAAAACTTTGATACAAGTAACCTTATCAAAGAAAAATTATTCAGGGAGACCTCTGAGTGTTTTTTAAAAAGATGCTGTTACCTGTGACTGGACCCCTGTAAGTGCCATAGAAACAAGCTCCATTGTCCAGACAGAGCTCTGGGCCCCTATACCTCCTGCTCCTCCTTCAGGGGTATCTTCTTTACCTCTGAGAGACCCTAGATGTCCTTCAATGGCCTTTTCCAGTTCTGTTGGGTACCTGGATGAACCAAAGAGATAAACCTCAGTTAGCATATTCAATTGAGACGTTGAGAAGAGATGCCTATAAAGGAAATACAATGTAAAATTAGTATCTATAGCTTTATCCCCATTTACACCAAAGCTCAAACATGTTTAAAGCTGTTTAGTTAAACATGGTTTAAAATTGTTTCCTTCACAAAAGCTGCTTACAGGAAAATTAGTGCAAATTACAAAACATGTTGAATCTCATTAGAATCCTGTGTGAAAACCTGTGTTCCAGCTTCCATGTCTGTTTTTCATTTTTTAAAACCTGGTTAATTTGGTGTGAATTGGCATAAAGGCTTTTTCAAACTAATAAAAACTCCAGAGTACCAGTAATCAGAAAGTAAGCTGGCTATAAAATTTTTATAACTCCACAACTGACAAGGAATGTTCAAACTGACCTTCTTTCCAAAGTCTGTACAATATCTTTCACTTTATCATTTAACTTGTTTATTTCAATCTTATTTCCACCGAGTGTTTCACAAGCATAGCAATATTCTTCAAGAAGTGTTCTATTACAGGGAAAAAAAAGAAACAAAAACACAATCAAAGATGTTATTAACAGTATTACATTGTAAAACAATATTAAAAACTANTATTTCAATCTTATTTCCACCGAGTGTTTCACAAGCATAGCAATATTCTTCAAGAAGTGTTCTATTACAGGGAAAAAAAAGAAACAAAAACACAATCAAAGATGTTATTAACAGTATTACATTGTAAAACAATATTAAAAACTACTCCTAAACTAGTGTGACTGATGATATTGTGAGTGATGTGGTAATTAAAAAGTCTATAATTATGGTCATGACAAAAAAAAATATACCACAAAGTAAGGTGTAATGATTTATGAATTATCCAGTGTCAGAAAAAGTACTCAACAAGAAAAAGTTCTTCTCAAAAGGATCTTTCCTTCAAACACGGGGAATACACTTTCATCATTCACTGGATATTTCATTTCAAGTATAATTTCTGCTGTTTCTTTTGTATGACTTGCTTTCTGTATCACTGTTATCGAAGAAGTGATATAAGTCCCTAGAGACTAAGCTAAGAGTCACCATCATCATCATCATCATTTTGAGTCTTCTCAGGCCAGTCACCATTTGACTAAATTTGGTTCTGACCTGCCCACAAGGATAACAGATTCCTTTTCAAAATCAATGTTTTTCAGTAACTCCATGGTAATTTCAAGCAAGGATTCTGATGTTGAATCAGCATGTTCTTCTGATAATTCATTTTTTATACCAGCGGACACCATCTGGGGTACGATGACTTCCAACAGGGGAGTAATGACATGTGTGGAGGACAGCTGATGGAAGGTCTTCACCAGATTTGGCTGCTTGAGAAGAGCTTTAAATGACCTACAAGAGTAAATTATTGAGTAACTCAAAATGCCAATGAAATTTTCTAGTTATTATTTCAGAGTGAAGGAAACAAAGAATAAATAGCCAACAGTCTACAGTCTTTCTTTAGAAAGTCATTCAGATGCCATCTGCCAGTCAGTCAATGTATCATTCAACATCTTTGGAGTGCATTCCTTTAGGACGATCTAGATCAGGATTTATGATCTGAGGTCACTTGAAACTTAATGCATCAATGGCACCAGTTTCTTGAAGGCAGTGATCTTGGATCGTAAGTCGTGATCTGGACCATTCTGTACAAACACACCCTTCCTGTCTGCCTTTCAATGATCCCATCAGTTGAAGTCTGTGAGTCTGTAAAAGAGTCACAGAGGTCTTCCCATCTGTCAGCCTAACAGCCAGTCAGTCATTCAGTCTAGGTCAGTGGGTCAGAAAGGCCAATAAACCAGTCAATCAGTTGGTGGGTCAGTCGGACAGTCAGGATACCGGACAGTCAGTCAGACGCTCAGTGATTCGTTGAGCCTTAGAAATTGACTCAACTGAAGATTTTTTTGTCAGGGGGATTATTTCTTCAAACAAAGGGAACACACTTTACATTGCATGCTAAAGAGATCATCAGTTAATTAAATTAAGGTCACAGGCATTTAGCTAGGTTCCAGTTGAAAGGTTTACTGAAGGCAGCAATATTTATGTGAAACATGCATAACAAAACAAGGTAAGTACCTTTTTGACAGTTTCTTGATGCCTTGTGACTGGCAAATGTAGGTTAGACAAGCAAGTCCTTCAACTGCAAGGCTTGGTTTTAGATTCTAGGATAAATTAAATTATATGGTGTATAACAATACGTTCAATATCTGTAGGACTGAGGCTTTATTTCAAGAATTCATTAAGTCTTCAACTTGTTATTCTTGTTTTTGTGATAGTATTGTTATTCAGACATACTCCTAGGAATGACTGGCTTGATCTACATATATAGACTGGTTGTGATTTATAGAATTATTGCAACTGAATTTTTGCTGTATGTGACTTCACTCTCTAATGGATGGACATCTTTCTGGAATATAAAGCTAAAACTGTTCTCACCCAAATCTCAAGTCCTTGTCAGTACACTGTACCACAACAAGTTGTGAGATGTCTGGATGTTGGATTGACCTGAGGTTATAAATGTATATGTTTTCAACATACTCAAAGCCTATATGTCATATAAGAACAAGAAGCTTTGAGTACACTGTATATGGCAAAGTGAAAATGTACCCACCTTACAAATACTTTCAGTGAGAGACTTCACCAAAGTTTCCTCCATGTTACACTTAAAACAGAGTTGAGCTGTTATCATGTAAGATGAAGCTAGAAGATCAGAAATTCTGGACCCAAGTCCTTCCAATAAATATGGCAATAAATGTGTCATAAACTTCTCTGTCACTGAAGGCATCATGTCCAGCACCCCAACAACTGTTGTTGTGTAGAATGTAATTAAAACCCTGGAACTTGACAGAGGAATTTTTAATTTGATCCCCTCTGTTACCATGTCACACACTAGGGATAAAAATGAACTATCTGAAATACAGTGCTGCAAGAAAGCAGTCTTGGAAAGAGGAACACCGGCCTTTTGAATTGGACGCAGCCAATTCCACCTGGAATGTGGATCTTTTATTGCTAACAGCTGCAAAACTCGAGCAAAGATGTTTGTTTCGTGAAAGGGAAGAATACAACAGACCAAGCTGTCTACATTGTAAACATGAATCTGGTAACGTCGAATTAGCCACTCCAAAACTTTATGCGCTGGTTTCAGCAAGAAATACGGAGATAAATATTTCAAGAACTTTGTGATGTGCTGATCTAACTTCTCATTGACTTCTTTAGACTGCAATGTCCTCTCCAATGACTTGGAAGCATCACCAAATAGGGAATTATCGAATGTTGAGAAACCTGGTTCGATCACTTTCAACTCTTCAAGACCATTTAGAGCGATAGAAAAGATAGTTTCGTTGTCGATGTCCGCCGCTTCTTTAGCATCAAAGAGTAAAGATGCCTTCTTGCTGGTTTTAGCAGCAGCAGACGGCAAACTGCCTGGAATTTGAAGCTGCTGTAACTGCCGTGCTAAAGAGGACATCTTGTATTTTTATGGTTTTCCACGTGCCTGCTGTAAAGAAGGCCAGGATACATAGCGTGTCTCTTTTTTTTTTGGAAGGGGAGGGAGGGTGGGGGGAGGGTTTAGGGGAGGGTACTATTCAATCAAATCACCAGTCACTGATTGGTGACTGACTGATTTTATCCAATCAGATCGCGTCGCGGAGTTGACAAAAACGCGGGAAAATTGGCGGCTGCTGGCAGAAAGGGCAGAAAAGCGAAAAAAGAGAAAACTTTTATGGTAGCAAAACAACTTTGACAAGAGCGACGCGCAATATTTTTTAGTTTCTTGTTCTTTTTACTAACAGTTTAGAAACAACAAAAAAAGGAGGACGTAAAAATGCCAAGATACCTTGGGATAGATTATCTTGCGGATGTAAGTTCTTTCCTTTCCCTAATTTTTAACTGCTATTTTTTCAGACAATGGATTTTAAAACTTGTAAATCTTTGAAAGTGCATAAAAAGCTGGACTTTGAAAATCTCTTTAAGGCTTTGCAGCAAAAAAGAAATATGCGATCTCAGATGCTGCTCACAATACCAAGCCATCTAGAATATGTTGAAGCATATTCACATAATGGAAAAGTTGGAAAAAACATTGGCCGTTTTCCATGGAAGAGAGGTAAAATTTAACAGACGTGCATTCATATGGATTCATAACTTTGTTGACGCTTACTTTATTCAACTGCTCTTTGTTTTCGGGTAGGCTTTCGCGGTTTTTATATACCAAGAGAGGATAAAGCTTTATCCTCTCTTGTATTATACCCAATGCTAAGATAAAACACTCACTTCGTTCACTGCAGAAATTAGTCGGTTTTATTTTCGCCCATTCTTTATCTAAATTTCCTTAAGCCACGTTATCTCCACTGAACATATACTTTATCGAAAGCTCTTGATTTTCATGAATTTTAGTTCTACCCGAAATGAGTGGTTCCTGCGTCCACAAAGGAAAAATAAATTCTAAAAAACAGCAAAAACAGTTCAAAAGCAAGATATATTACACATTTTGGAAACTAGATTTTCAACGATATCGACCTTTTTCGTTGGTTCTGGAATTTAAGTCCTGAATGTTTTAGTCTCTTTTCTATTTTTCAGAAAGCGCCTTTAAGCTGTCCAGTAAACAGCCTGTAGACTACCTGTCACAGCTCACAGGCTCAGTTCAACTTCCAGAGCCGTACAGTTCACAAACCGGAACTGTTGAGGATATAGTTCCCAGCTCAAACCCAGACTCCCCTTTAGTATCTTTTGAAGTGTGGTCCGATCTAGAAGAAGAGGTTGCAAACTACGTTGTCAGTGCTCTAACCCCTGATAAAGAAGAGTTTAAAGCTATAAATGAAAACCTGAACGGTAAGCATGTAGTTTTGTTAATAAATAAGTAAGTCGGTGAGTTCCGTTGCCGAGGCAGAAAGGATCCCAGCCAGAACTTGATTTGCCTGTGTTATATCTACTCCTTTATATCTAAGCGTGTAGTCTAAAAAAGCGGCCAATGTTTATATTTATATATTCTGTGCATTGCTGTCTCATTGACAGATGATTCCATGAAAGACAAATTAGAGGAGATGGAAAGCATAGACTATTTTCATGAGACTCTTCAGAGAATACCTAGAGTCAAGGCATTATGTTCAAGATTAAAAACCAAACCTGTTGAAGATCCTCTTTTACTGGACAGGGAAGGAAACCCTCTGCAGGAGAAAAATCTCCTAAGGTAAATCAATCTCGTACCCAGATCTCTTATTGGCGAAGCTCACCTTCGGCTCGTCAACAAGAGATCTGGATACGAGAGTAAGCGGTAAGGTTAATGCGTGCATCGGGTCTGCATCGAACGGCAAAACAGGGACCTGTTTACATCATACAACCAGTCTATTCTTCTGTTCATTTAGCTCACCAAGAATAATCCAAAAAAGAAACTCTTTCAGCAGGAAATCCTCACACCCTCCCCTTTACTCACCCCCAATTAAAACGTGTTTTACAAACCTGTTTAAAATAGTCTGGGACAAAATACGGTCAAAACGTTTTCAACATTACTTCATTTGATTGGGGTTTTCTAAAATTTTACTTGCAACCTGCTCTTTAAACTAAAGCCTTTTTGTTATGTTTCGCGCCCAGAAATTAACTTATTGCTAGTTTTAGCCATTGAGGTACAGCTCTGATGGTGTGGGAAAAAAAGTAACTTACTGAATATTTTTTTAAGGATGGAATTTAAAGTAAATATCCTGGAGGAATGTAAAAAGAAGCCAACAAACAAAGACAAAGAAATATTCTTGAAGATTCTGAATAATGATACAGCTAAGGAGGTAATTAAATGAAGATTTTCCGATACGTTATAAAAAAGTTGCTGTTTATTAAGGCCATATCGTACCGTAAAAACTATGCGGCTGCAGGATCAGAATCCTGGAGTCAAAGGGGAATTTCTATTCTGAAATGCAGCGTCTCACAAATGCCGAAGCCAAACGTTATGTTAAACATAATTGCTAAATTATGTTATTACACAGGGTGATTTTACACTTCACAATGAAGAAATCGAGGACATCGTTAGCCCGGTCATTCCTTCGGTCCAGCTAACCTGTGCTGTTAAAGCACAACAATCACTCGGACTACTCAAAGAGACACAATCTGAAGGTAAGAAATGTTCGCAGCGTATAAAGTACAAAACGTTCCTTGTGGCCGTGTCATTTACGGAAAAATTACGTTGGTTGCTTTACTTATATTTCATTTCTTTCATTTCCAGTAGAAAAATCAGAGCTACTATCAGTGGGTCAGTTTGCTTTTGAAAACCCTGAGTCCTTTTTGGATAAGACAGTTACAGACTCAACGAAGAAAAAGAATGACTTTGTAACGCTGAATAGTGGTAACTGTTAATGGTGTCATTAAGTAACATTCATAACAACGCCCTTTGTACTGTATGTACTAGATAGATAAAAATTATCTCAATTTTTGGTCATTAGAAGATGATCCAAAACCTGAAGATTTCCTGAAGGACCAACAGCTATTAGAATCTCCATCTCACCTCCCAACCTTCCTGGTTACTGACGAAAATAGCAGGAAGTTTATCAATGCTTTGGAAAAGTTTAAATTGTTGACGGACATTGAAAGGTAATCACTGTAATCAGAGTGTATTCGACACAACAACAAGTTGCTCTGGCCCAATGCAAGTTAACATTTGCAGTTCAACACCCTAAAACGCGTTTAAAACTGAAACAAATCTTACCTTTGCTCAGATATGTTTACATTTAGTCAGTCAGTTCAAAACCAGTGCTTTTTTTCCTGTTGCAGCCCACCAATGACACCTACTAAGGTATCGCAGTGTGTCCAAAGAATATGGGAGAATGAGAAACTTCTCTTTAATGAACATTTGGCGATGGTCTTTCCTGGTATGTACATAATCATGCGTGAGCATGCACTAAATGTTCGCATACCTCGAAAGCGAACCAAAGTATGGGAAACCATGAGCACCCCTTTATTAAAAAAACATTTTTCACCTCCTTATAATCGCTTATGTCTATTTAGGAACATTTTTTAGTTATTTGTTCTTTTAATCTGCTCTTTTGTCACCATACGGAATCAGTTTAAGTAAGGCGCTTAGGTAGAAATGTACAGGCATTAATGACTATATACCCTATCTTTTTCTTTTTCTCTTCCAGTACCTAGCACTTCACGAGAAAGAAGAAAGGAACACACCATGACTTTAGTTCAAGTGGCCTTAAAGAAGTTAACGCTGTCACAAGAGTGCTTGAGTGGACAGTTAGAATTAGGACTACCATGGGATCCTTTGGCTCAGTCAGTGACCGCAATAGAGACTTGTCGCAGAAATCTACAACGCCTTTCAGCATGGAGTGATAAAGGAGACAAAGCTGAACACCTTGACATCAGAAGCAGGGCGCTTTCACACTCGGGTGAAACCTTTTGCAAGAAAAATCTTCAAGGTGATAAACACCGTATACACAATGATGACAAGTGTTCACAAACAAAATTGTTTTTGTTAGAGTGCAAGCCTTTGAGAAAAAGAAAAGACTGTAGCGGTTCCAGGTTTTCCGGCCAAGCACGAAAACAATGATGATAAAATAGCTGCTTAAAGAGAGAGTTTTCAATACTATTTCGAGTTCTTCAGTATCTTTAAAAGTGGTACTAACCCATCAAAACAAAGGGAAAACTATCTGATGACTTTTAGGATGGCTCAAAATTTTTTCATCCCATTATCAAATCAAAACGCGCGAAGGAAAGAAGCTAAAATTCAATAATTATTTGTTTGCTTTTGTTGCTATCTTTTATTACTAGAACTTCCATCAAATGAAAGATTACCACAGACGTCAATGGAAGAGTCTTCATGTAAGATACAAGCCGAAAGACACCCAGGTAATAGGATGTTCAACAGAGCTCGACAATCCCATAACGTCGTAATTTATCAAGAGTTTGCCAAACTACTGCTGACCTTCTGTCCTCGTAGGTAGTTTCCACTTTTGTTTAACAGTTTTGTGTATCACTTTACATGACACAGGAAATGAGTTAGTGCCTACTGCAGCCACGATTGAGAACCAAAGTACATTGGACACCTTCAAAGGCCCCGCAAGCAAAGTGCAACGTTCCACAATCACCAAATCAGTTGCGACAAAAAGTAGCGTAACTGAAAAAGAGGAAAACATATCCTTTGTTGTTCCAAGCACGACCTCCGACGTATTAAGACAGAAACAAACTTCAACAGGTCTTGAAGACTTTTTACTGCTGAGAAAAGGAAAGCATGACACTTTGAAGCCACCCAGTCATCGTCAGTGCACGCCACTAAGTAAGAAAAAAATGATAATAGAATAACAATAGATAATAAGCAGTGTTGTAAGGTACAGTCATGGGAGGAACTTTTCAAATTTTGGTGGTAAACTTAACGCTGACTTTTCTTTAATCTCCTTTTAAGTCTATCTCGGTGGTGAATCTACAAATAGCTCACAGGGGGATCCTCCCCATTGTTTTTAAACAAAAACTGAGGCCCAAAGGGCCTACCGCCAAGAGCGCCCCCACCCTCCCAACCCTTACTTCAAGGTCTGAATCCGCCACTGTTATCTCCACTCTGCCACTGTGATCTCTCTTCTGTAATCTCCACTTCCCCCACCGGTCTAGCACACCAGTTGGTAATTTGTACCACCAGTTACTTAATTGCAAAATATTTCCTCCGTTAACTTCTTTCTTACTTTTAGAAACAGTCGTGAAGGCGGCAAAGGTTCGCCCGTCCGTCTTTACCAAAGATACAAGTGTATCAGACCAGACAGCACCTACAGAACCTGCCGAAGAAACAAAAGGCTCTGGGTGCCAAGTCCAGCAGCAAAACATAATCGTTGAACTTTCAGACGAGTTCCAAGATGTCTTAAATGAGTTGATCGCACAAGTGAGACCCCTTCTGAGTAGGCTTCAAGACAATGGTGTCATTCCACAATCCAAGACACTGTCCACCTTGAATCCAGAATACACAAGATTTGTGCTAAAGCAGGCTGAGATGGCTGTAAGAAATACAGAGGAAAACAACCTCGAAACTCAGATATTTTGCATGACTGTGTGCTTACATGCGTTGGTTTCCTGTGTTGATATTCTCATGCAGAGTGGTTTAGAAGCAGCGATAGGTAAAGCAATCCTTCATTTGGTGGCACAGTACTCATAGTATACTCACTAGACAAATACTCATTTAAAATAAATAGCACTGCTACCTATCTATTTACAGCACCCATAGTATCTGGACAGACAATAACAGATAAAGCGTCTTATCCATTCAAATTATAGCCTCACAAACAGCCGTTCTTGTCTCGTCACGTCTCGCTCCTCCCTGGAGTCTATTTAAATCAAATCCCTTCGGTAATCCCCATGCTTCACTTTCCAGCAACGAATGTTTGTCTTCATTGACATCAAAGAATCAGTGTAGGCTCTAGTTTGAAAGGTAGTTCAATTTTATATTGCGCCCACTTCATCTGAGATTTGTTCCGCTATTATGTGGAAAGGTACATCATATAAGTGCGTTCATTTCATTGGAGGTTATTGCCTTCTACCTTATTCATTGCAGCATACCTAAGCTCAACTCAGGAAAAGTATGGCGGTTCATTACTCGGAGCCCTCGAGTCGACACGAAGATATCTCTTTGAAACACACTTCACTTTCCGGCAACGGAAGGTTCTGCACCCCAAGCTTTTAAAGTTGCTTGGTCTTGCGGCACAGTGGAGTAAAGAAGGAAATGCAAGTCGCTTAACAGCAGCAATCTTTACTTACGCTTTTCCTCAAAATTTAAACAACGAAATCATTGAAACCCTTTCAGGTGTGAATGGAGTTCAAGTGAGGCTATATACATCAGCTACGGAGATAAATGAAGTAGTTTGTGATGGAAACCTAGTTATTTATGTTGTAAGCGCTCTTTCTGTTACCGAGGACTTTCCCTGGGGCAGTTTTGACTTCGTGCTAGACTATGACCTCAACGCCGTGATGAGAAGAGAACAACTTTCTCGTAGCCGTAGACTTAAAGCCCACATAAACCTGAGAACAAAGGCAGAAACTCAGTTGGATCAAAATCGTGCCCTAGAAGTGCAAGGCAAGTTTTTTGTACCTCAATATGTATAAATAAATAATAACAATTTTCTAATGACGATATAAACTAAAACATTACTTATCATTAGTACCGCCTCTCCCTATGCTATATAGCAGTATTACCATAACAAATTTTCTAGAACAAGTTACTTGCTAGGAACACTAGCTAGAAAATATAACGTAGCAATAGGTTCTAAGGAGACTCCTTAGACTCTTGTTAAACTTAAATAGCGGCATATCAAACAAGAATACACTACCCTCCGTATTTTCTTTTGTACTTTGCAATGCTCCAACATCACTCCAACGTTCCAGTTGGCAAGGCAAGACTGCTTCACCTGTCTTCTTTTGTGTTTGTGCTATGCCTTTCCAGGCATCTATGACCAACACTGAGCAAAACTTTACTTAGTAATCCGATTGTAGATAATACTGAGTTGTAATTTTTACCCCTATAAGGAAGAAGGCCAGTGCGCACTGAAAAATTTTCTTATAGAGAGCTACAACGAATATTTTCCTTACAGGCAGTGGCCCCCACTTCAGAGAAATACAGGTCGATGACCAATTTATATTCATCGGCAGCGATAAAACTACACTTCATGTAGATCTACTGCAGCTCCTCGAGACAAAGCATAACGTACTGATTTACGAAAGACAGTACAGTTATCCCAGACCGAGAGATCCCTTAACCAAGATGTGTTTACAGCCAGATATAATGATAGACGAGAGGACCTGCATTCATCTACAGCACCTACCTTCTTTGGCTGATGAAGACAAATATGAGGGTCTCAGAGACACTGTACTTTCATTGTCTCTTAAATGCATTAAGTGTTGTGTTATTCTGTATTCCAGCAAGGAACCAGAGTAAGTTGATACTAGCTACTGTAGTCATAAATAGAACAAATAGAACTAAGAAGCGATCCCCCGCGCAAGACAAAAACAAATTTTGAGGACTAAACTAGTGACAAGTACTAAGGAAAAGCTACGTTCTTCGTTATATTAGCGAGCTACCTCTTGTGACAGCGATATTTAACAATTATTCCTCGAGCCCGAATGGGCTCTGAGTCAATAGCCCATGAGGCCGAAGGCCGAATGTGCTTTTGACTCAGAGGCCATGACGTTGAGAGGAATAATTGTTTTAGTAAAATCCAACTAATTGGTCAAAAAATATCGAGACAAAACAACGTTAGCTCAAAGCGAGGCTTTAATCCTTTTTTGCCGCCAAAAAGCCGGCGCTTTGCGCTACTAGTGGGTTATAACATATAGCCTTGTAGTAGCTCAACCAATCAGAACGCAGCATTGATGGTAGACCACTAGTTGGATTTAACTAAATAGTGATAGAAAGGTAGCCGTGCGAATGATAATGCTAATGCTGAGCCGGATGTTGTCGACAGTATATGATGCTGGTAATGAGCAGTTGATAGGAAAATAAACGCGTTTATTAAATTTAGGCTAAGTATGACAAGGGTTCTCCGTTGAAATAACGTTCATATATGCTCACTCATTTTACTGTGATTAATTGGAAAAGTCTTGTTTCGATTCCCGTCAGATATGCATTCACTGGAGATGTTATTCGCCATTTGTCTACCCTGTTTGCTAGCATTGCGCATTTTCAAAAGAGTGACTTCGAAGTGGAGATTATCTATTCGTTTGCTGTAGAGGAAACCGCTAAACTGATAAGACAAATAGGCGAAGTGAGTAGAGCCCAGTCAGCAGTGTGGAAAAAGCAGGAATGGATCAAAAGAAAATGGCTGACAAACGAGGCCAGCGCGGTAAGACAATTCGTTTGATATCATCCCGTCCAGTACAAATCCCTTTTTAACTTGCTTGATTGCTCTGAAATGCAATCTACACAGGTAAATGCTCTTCTGAAACATTCCGTTTCAAGAGTGTACGAATTGTGTCTGGGATTTAAGCTTATTTCTTTACCTTCTCTGTATTACATGGTCAACAGAACTATTCGACAAAAAGGAGCTCACAGGATGAGCGATAGTACTTTCCTTAAAACCTCGGATACCTTGACAACTCTGACTAACTAAAACAATATGTATTTCCTCGGAAGATTTCAGTGAACTCTGTGTTAAACTTTTCTTACTGTGTTAGATTCTTCCTCCCAAATTAGTGTTTTTTCGCCTTTGCTAGTTTCCACGTAATAGTAACTGCTTTTCGCGTACGCTTCAACGGTTTTTGTCTTATGTTATTGAAACATTGAAAACGTTGAAAATTATTCGCTGTTTGTAACAGTAATTGATGGAGAGTTTATATTTGCTAACTTGGTGGTACTATGGTTTTCAGCATGAAAAATTCCTGCTGTCCCTTCCATGCATGAATTCATTCAGGTAAGCTAAAGGGATTGAGTCACGCCGTACAAGCTGAAAACTTCAGCCCCTCCTTTATTTACTCGTTTATCGTCTATTCCATTCTCTCCTTTATTATCTCGCAAATAGAAAAAACCCAGATTTCTCCACCAATGTTGACACTAGAATGTTCCTTCCCTTTTCAGTGCTCAAGTGATGCTCACTGCTGCTCCATTAGCTACACTGCTGAAAATGACCCTCACAGAACTGAAAGAAACTTGCCCTTGGATTCCTCAGCGAATTCTAACGGTATGGCAGTAGCTTGAATCAGTTTTCACATTAGACATGTTAGAAAATCACGGTACTTAACGGTAGTCATTACCCATTTTCATCAGTCAGTTCTTCCTCCTTGATTTTCGAATAATCTATGCCTTTCAAGCTTATATGGTTCTGTTTAAAGACAATGGGCATTTCGCAGCACACCATAGAAATATCTCTTTACATTGAGTTAAATAATCAGTTTATATCCTGGACAAGTCTTTTTGTGCTGCGGTTTCTGGCTTATCCATGGAAATACGCAAAGGACAAGGCTTTTCTTGTGTAATATAGTATTTTGTTGACACTTTATCTAACAAGTATAAACTAGTAAATATCAGTCAGCAATCGTTTATGCTTAAGGCGAAAATAAAAAGTGCCCTAACTCACTAGGATAAGGCGATTTATTATAATATATATATAATATCAACAATACCAAAATTAATGCTTTTTTATCTTAGGAATTTCACAGAACTATTAACTGGTGTTCTGAATTGAACGATTACCACACAGCTTATCCCTGTGTTCGGCCGGTACAGAAAATATTTCAGCAGTGCAAACAGATATCAGAAAGCAGATACAACGAACATATAGACGAAGCATCACCTTTCCATATGGCAACTACGCCCTTTAATTCGTCACCAGATAGCGTGGTTACCAACACAAGCGATTCCACTACAACATGGATGGATAACATTGAACACAATGGTGACTTACTGCAGGAAATCATAAGAAATGCTGATAGCGATAAGAGTTACTATAACTGGTCTTATAAAGGTGATAAACCCACGACTATTGCTGTACCAGATACCTCAGTAACTGTGGATAGACCTAATATTTACGTATCTCAAAAGGATTGCATTGGAGCGCACCATCGACAGAACGGAGACTGTTCGGTTGATCAAAGCTCTGTTGACAATGGCTGGAAATCTTTAATGGACAAGAACTCTTCAGCGTCATTGGAGGACCGTGTTGCCCTGGATTTAAAACGATGTATTTCAGGGGTAAAGGTAAACGTGGGCAAAATAGCGGTTGACTATAACAGTCTTCAAAGTCCTTGTTCGACTTTGAAAAAACACTTTTTTGTAAATTTTAAACAAGAACTGGAAGATAAAGTAGTGCTTGCTGTGTAGCACTGAAATTAAATGTCACAGGTAAAGACATTTTGATTTCAGAATCCTTCAGAAAGTGCAGAGAATAGCTAACGTCAAATATCACCCTTTGAAACCACAGTAATAACATATGATATGCAGGGTTGTCACTAAGGGCCGGGGGCCGGGGATTTCCCCCGGCTACTCAGAGCATGGCCCCGGCTACTTTCGTCGTTAAATTAAACCAAAAGAGCACACCTTTGACACACAAAGACTATCCATCCAACTAAATGCAAGTTTCATCTGCAGCAGGTATAAGTAATTTTGAAATACTCGCGTGCAAAAACTACGAAATGTCGGAAAAAGACATCTGACTTAGATTTGGTACTGGTACACACGTGCGTAAACTCTCCGTTCGCGAAATGTCAGTAGGAAATTTCAGCAACGACGACGGCGACGGCAACGAGAACGTCAAAAAAGCAATAGGTTTATTAGGCAAAACAACTAGTTTGCACGTGCATCACGCTTTTTTGTACATTTCTTTGCCGTTACTGCACGACTGCGACGTGAAAATGCCTAGTTTCACGTTTTATGGAGGATGTAAACAAGCGACGACAAACTTTTCTTTCTCTTTCTAAACTTGAGTGCGGTCCCCAAGAAATCAACCCCAGGGAAATTGACCTACATCAGCTATTTTCAGCGACGGAATTGAAATAAACGCGACAAAGTTGGAAAAAACGCCAATTCATTTTAAAAGTGACGTTTTCGCTGCCGTCATCTTGTCGATGTTAAAAGTCCCCAGTTTCAATTAGTTTCAACCGTTGTGTCGGCCTTGTGTTGAACATGTCGAAGAAGTGGCAAAGGAATCTGCACTCTTTGTTCACGATGAAAGACCTGAGCAGATCTATGTTGACATCACAGAAGAAGTTGAGGCTTCATCCGAGCGTTAAATCTCCCTGATGCTGTTGTTGATGATAATGAGGATTATGATGAAGGCTTTGAAGATGAAGACCCTGACTGATTGCTAGGTTTAATAAATTGACATTTAAGTGACCAGGTCTACATTTCGCTTTGGGTATCGAGTATATAAAATAACGCACGGTCAACGGGAAATGTTCGATCACTGTCTCTTGTCGCAGGTCATGATCACATCCTCTCAGTTCTACTTCAAAGAAGTTATATATAGAAGGGAAGTTAAGCATTAGCATTGCTTTTTGCATTCTTCTCCTTGAGTCTCGTTTTGACATCTCAGCGTCGTTTATAAAGTATTAGCCGTCTTTTAAACGCTTTTACGTGGGTCAGTTTCTTCGTATGTTAAGTGATGTTTCGTTCCTAAATTCGAGACCACTAATGTTATCAGTTATGCAGTTTAGTTTTGCCATATTTTATCCCGCGATTTTTCGTACGTTACGCTTGTTTTAGCCTTATCATACTTTTATTTTTCAACAAACTATGGTAACCTTATGTTTATGATGCTTTTTCGTACATTCATCGTACGCTTGTCTTCTTTCTGCTTCTCCGTGGGTTAATTCATCTGTAATATTAGTTTTACTTTTGTTTTCCGTAAGTTGTTTCGTTGTTACGTATAACTAAATGAGGATTTACAATTGATTTCACAGCGCATGTTAATTCATTTGCAGCAAAAACTTATTATTTTAGTGTCTCAGAATGTTGTAGTTTTCTTTGATAAAGACGTGATCATCATAATAGCTGTATGATAGCTGTACTCTCGGTAACGCCTTTTGGAAAACGGTAGAAGTTGCACTTCAAAAACTTCTTGGGGGGGAGGGGGGGGAGACTCCATGACTGCTTGCGACTTCCCCGGCTACTAACAACAAATACCCGGCAACTTGAAATCTTAGTGACAACCCTGATATGGGGTGAGGCAAGAGTACTAAACAGCCTACTTACCATTCAACCTCGTTCCCAAGGGAAAGGCAATGTTACAAGGATGTTCCCATCTCTTGTGCTCGTTCTTTTGAGATTCCGGAGGCTTTGATTTCTTTCCCCTTCCACATTTTTCTTGTCCACAATTGCAAAACCTAATCATATCTATTTTTTTTAATCAAAGTTACCCGACAACCGCTATGAGTTCAATCCATATCCTCATCTCAACCCCGACCAATACCTGTTGACGAAAGATCCAGCAGGTCCTCACTCTAGAGAAGGTTTTGCCGCTAAGGTTCGTTGGAGACCAGAGAACTTCAGCCAAAGTCAGTCGAGAACGGCTGATAAATCGTACGTTTTGTCTACTGGCAGAAAATCCGGCTTTACAGACTTGGGATTTCCTGGGAAGGCCAACTCGTCTATTTTTCACACAGCTGTGGACAATACAGGGCGTCCTCCATTGCGTGATGCAGAGCAACAATACCGCGTTGAACCTCACTCGGGAATAGGCCGAGTGCATCAAAGACAACAGAAACCAGACTGTTATTCACGAACGGATTCTAATGCTCCGCAAGCACATCTGAAGAGTTCGATGGGAAGAGATCTATCTGGCAATCGCACAAGGTCAGTCAACTCGATCATAGAAAGTCCCGCAAAGAGAACCGTTTTAACCTTAGATCTCAGGTCAGGGGCACCCAACGAGAATATAGTTCAAAACCACTTAAACATAGTATTGTTAAACGTATTTTAGTATTTAAACGGTAGATATAGGCATATTTTTATCCCCTAAAAATTTTTCATCTGTTCGGATTTCCTAGCTGAAAGTCTAGTGATCCGAAAGTTATAGGGATCAAAACTTACCTTTTCGAAAATTTCAGCCAGAAAAAAGGCTCCCGAAAATTCTAGGTGACCTTTTTAGGGTAAAAATCCGTTAAAAATAAGCAATTATACCATTTTTTAGATGTTCGAAAATCTTAGGAGAGGCAGGCAAGCAAGAAATTTTGCAACAAATGTTTCGAAAATTCTAGATCTCAAATCGTCTTCCGAACAGATATTATTCCGAAAATTGCCGTTGGGTGCCCCTGTCAGGTTAACTGGGTACGAATTTGAAAACCTCCTCGCATAGTCTGCATACAGGTCTCTTACTTCCTTTGTTGCTCGCGGGCAACAAATGAACTAGAAGACGTCTGCACGCCGGTAAGTGGGTACAACGACTGCACACTGACCCATGGTATCCATTGAAGGGAAGCAAACACTCATTAGGGCCTCTGATGTGGTGAACAATATTCCTCGCACCTACGATGACCTTGCTTGTTTCAGTATCGATTCCACGTAAACATAGTACTTATTTCTTTTTGTACCGCCATTTCTTCATGGATGCGAGCTGATATAAGAATTATCTTGTTTAGACTGTGAGGTGCTTGAGCGTGACTGATTGTTTGCACTTTTTGTTTTACAACACTCATATGAAGTTTACTTGCGTACAGGCATCCCGTGCGTGTTCTAAACCTAGGAGATGAGAACTTCCATGTGCCGCCTACAAAGGTGGGAATCGCTCAGCCACAGAGGCGCACTTATTGTTTAGCTGGTCAGGTGTTGGGAGAGAACAGTGTCGCCAGTCAACACAAGAGATTTAGCCTTGGCATTGAGAAATCCACTGGCGCCAATACAGAGTCTATTTCTCAAAGGGTAAGTGGACAAAATACTTCAGAGTCCCTTTTTGAAACAGGATACAGTTGAACCTCCTTTAACCGGCCACCCTTGCAATTTGGGTACTGGCAAGTGGGCGCTTAATGGAGGTTTATCGTAAATAAGAATAGTCTTTTGCAGAAACGTCTTGAACCAAACACATGACAGAAGCAGCACTACTGGCGTACACTCGGTCGTCACCTTCTTTCTCGGAATTTATTTTCCTTCATTATATCCTTAAAACAAAGCCACACTAAGTGTATCAAGCGCTTGACAACCGCTTAATAGAGGTGAAAACAATGGACTAACTCTTCTGGGACGGCTAAAAGGTGGCCGCTAAATAGAGGGTTAATTCCCCATTCTTTTCGACAATTATTTCGGGACTTTGGTTACGGGCACCTTAATAGGAGCCGAGGTCGCTTAATGGAGGTTCGACTGTAGTTTGTAAGAAACCCCGAAATAATTATAATGTGAGGAAAAGCAGTTCACAGAGTCCGTTACCCTAGAAGGCAAAATTTTGTAAACGTTCATTGTGAGAAATCAAAAACCTTTTCTCATTGAAAAAAACGGGGAATTATTCTCATACTTTTTTTTATTCTAAAAGCCAAGGAGAATCAAACAAACTATAACAGAGAAGCTTTATTTAAAACATTTATAAACATTCACGGGTTGCCTCGGCCTTAGTCCTTCCTCGTTATTGCTGTACTCTGTACAAATAAAGAAAATGAAGAAAACTCAACAGCTAAATTAGTCTTTTCAAGAGTCCGTGTGAGCAATGTGCTGGCGTCGCCTACCTTAAGCGTT